ATACAAAAAGTTAAAGGGAGCTCTTCACACAAAAGGAATAGATACCAGGCAGAAACCTGAACCAACATAGAGAAATGACCAACAAAAATGACTGAAAGATAAAAAGGCATATTTTTTTTCTTATTTTGAATAGCTCTAAATAATAACTGACCACCTAAAGCAAAAATTAGTAGCGATGTCCTATGGGTTTATAGTGTAAAAAATGTACAGTAACAAAAAACAGCATAAAAGAAGAATGACAAGAATTAAGAAGATACAGTTGTAGAGTTTTCACAGTATCAGTAAAACAGCATAATACTGACTGAAGGTAGGACCAGGATGAATTAAAGATATACAGTAAACAAAAAGGGCAACCACTAAAAAAAAGAAAAAAAAATATTGAGAATAGTAAGTCTGTCATGGAGATAAAACAATCACAAAAAATAATATAAAATTAGGCAGAAAAAAAGAAGAGGAATGAGGAACAGATGGGACAAATAGAAAATAACTAACAATGCAGTAGATTTAATGAACTGTATCAATAGTTAAACGAATGTAAAGGGTTTAAACACACAAATTAAAAACAGATTGTCAAGCTTCCTTCGGGAAAACCAACTTTAAATATAAAAACATATAGGTTAAAAGATATACCACGCAAACACTACATAAAAAAGCCAGAGTGACTATGTCAGCATCACACAAACTACATTTAAGAACAGAGAATGTGAGGGCACCTGGGTGGCTCAGTTGGTTAAGTGTCTGACTTCAGTTAAGAATCTGCCTTTCACTCAGGTCATGATCTCAGGGTCCTGGGATTGAGCCCCGTGTCAGGCTCCCTGCTCAGCAGGGAGTCTGCTTCTCCCTCTGCCTCTCCCCTTTGCCCCTGCTTGTGCAGGCGCACACGTGTGCTCTCTTTCTCTCTCTCTCAAATAAGTAAAATCTTAGAAGAAAAATACAAAAAAAGAACAGAGAATGTGACCAAGGATAAAGAGGAAAAATTGTAAAACAATAAAAGGATCAACCAAGAAGACCTAACGATCTTAAGTGTGTACGTACCTAAGAATAGGCCTCCAAAATACAGACTCCTCACCTAGTATTTGACAGACCAAACAGACACAAAATTAGTAAAATTACATAAGATCTGAGCAACACTATTATCTACCTTGACTTAATTGATGTTTTAACAAAACCACAGCAGAATACACATTCTTTTCAAGTACACATTCTTTTTAAAATAGACCATATTCTGACCCATAAAACAAACCTCAACAAATTCAGTAGAACTGTTCTCTATTCACTGCCTACCAAAAACTTAAACTAGAAATAAGAGAAAGATGTGGAAAACCCTGAAATATTTGAAAATTTAAAAATATATTTCTGGGGCACCTGGGTGGCTCAGTCAGTTAAACATCTGACTCTTGATTTCAGCTCAGGTCTTGATCTCAGGGTTGTGAGTTCAAGCCCCACATTGGATGTGAAGCCTACTTGAAAAAAAAAAATAGATACATACATACATACATATAAAAATACATATACTTCTTTTTTTTTTTTTTTAAAGATTTTATTTATTTGCCAGAGAGAGAGAGTGAGCACAAGCAGGGGGAGCAGCAAGCAGAGGGAGAGGGATAAGCAGGCTCCTGCCAAGCAGAGAGCCCAGTGCGGGGCTTGATCCCAGGACCCCGGGATCATGACCCAAGCCGAAGGCAGACACCCAACCGAGCCACCAAGGTGCCCCAAAAATACATATACTTCTAAACAACTCAGGAATCAAAGAGAAAGAAAAGATTAGAAAATATTTTGAATTAAAGGAAAATGAAAATATATCAAAATTCATAGGATGTAGCTAAAGAAGGGTCAAGAAGCAAATTTATGGCACTGTTCTTTTTTAAAAGAAAGGTGTCATATTGATGATCTAAGCTCCACACCTAAGAAACAAGGGGGAAAAAAAAAAAGGAGCAAACAGAAGTATAAAAGGAGAAATGAAACTGAATGCACAAAAATAGAGAAAAATCAATAAAACCAAAAACAAGTTATCTGAAAAAAACAAAAATACCAATACACCTGTATTATATCCAGACTGACAAAAAAAGAGAAGACAAAATAGAGCACATTACTAACGATCCTACAGATATGAAAAGGATAAGGGAATATTACAAACGCCTTTATGTCAACAGTTTACACAACTTAGAGGAAATAGGCAAATCCCCAGAAATACACAAACTACAAAAACTACAAAAGCCACTCAAGAAGAAATAAACTGAACAGTACTATATCTACCAAAAAAATTAAACAGTTTTAAAACTTAGGTGAAAAAAACAGAAACAAAAAGCTCCACAACCACATGGCTTCAGAAGGATATTCTACCAAACAATTAAAGAACAAATAATACCAATTATACAAAAACTTCTCCAGTGAAAGGAAAAACAAAAAAGAAGAGGAAACACTTCCAGCTCATATTATGAGGCTGGCATTACTCTTATATAAAACACACACAAAGACATTAAAACTACATATAGATCAATATGCCACATGAATATAAATGCAAAAAATTCTCAACAATGTATTATCGAATCAATCCTAGCAGTATATAAAAAGGATAATGCCCCATGATCAAGTGGGTTTCTTCCTGAAAATGCAAGGTTGGTTTGACATTCAAAATTCAACCAATATAATCTGCAAATCAACAGATAAAGAAAAAAAATCATATATAATCATCTTATTGAATACCACAAAAACATCTGACAACATTCAACATCCATCCACAATAAATAAAAAATCTCAGCAAACTAGGAATGGAAAGGGGCTTCTTCAAGACGATAAAGGGCATCTACAAAAAACCTATGGCTAACAGGGTGCCGGGGTGGCTCAGTGGATTAAGTTTCAGACTCTTGATTTCAGCTCAGGTCATGATCTCAGGGTGGTAAGATCGAACCCTGCGTCAGCCTCATGCTGGGTGTGAAGCCTGCTTAAGATTCTCTCTCTCCCTTTCCCTCACCACCATCTTCTGTCAAAAAAAAAAAAAAAAAGAACAAGAACAAAAAACCTATGACTAACATTTACATGTAATGGTGAAAGACTAAATGTTCTTCCTATAAGATCAGGAAACAGACAAGGATGTAAGGCAAGACAAAGTAATAAAAGAGCTACACAGATAAAACTGTTCTCTATACAGAGAAATGAAACTATTCACTGATGACATGATCGTTTACAAAAAAGCAACTAGAATTAGTGAATTTAGAAAAATCTCAGAGCACAAAGGTCAATATAAAAATCCACTGTATATTGCATAATATGAATGCTGTTCTTAGTACCACTGAACTATAATGGTAAATGAAAAATTTTGTTATGTATGCTTTATAATATTTTTAAAAATGACAGCATCAGGAAGTTATTCAGTGATAAACAAGATGTCCTAAGCCAGCTGAAAATTTAAGTCTTTATTAAAACTTTCTTTTAAATCAACTGTATTTATAAATACTAGCAATAAACAACTAGAAATTGAAATAAAAATACAGTACCATTTATAATAGGACCAAAAAATATAAAATATGTATAAATCTATCAAAATATATAAAATATCTATATGCTAAAAACTAGAAACACCAAGGAAGAAAATTAAAGAAGGACTAAATAAATGGATAGATATGTCATGTTCATGGTTTGGAAGACTCCGTATTTGTTAAGATACCAATTTTCTCTAAACTCATTTATAGACTCAAGGTAATCCCAATCAAAATTCCAGTGGAATATTCTGTAGAGATCAACAAACTGATTCTAAAATAGGAAATAAAGTAAATGGAATAGCCAAGACAATTTTGAAAAGGAACAAAGTCGGAAGACTCACACAACCTGACTTCAAGACTTTCCATAAAGCCACAATAATGAATGCAGTGTAGTTCACACAGTGTGGCAAAAGGACAGACACAAACAGCAAGAGCACAGAGAGTGCAGAGGTCGACTCACACATATATGGTCAATTGATTTCAAAAGTGCAAAGTCAATTAAACAGAGAAAGGCAAGTCTTTTCAACAAATGTTGCTAGAATTTTTGAATATCGAGAAGGAAAGAAAGCTCAACCTATACCTCACAGCAGATATAGAATTTAACTCAAAATGAATTACAGACTTATAATTAAAAGTAAAACCTTAATATTTTTAGAAGAAAACATAAGAGAAAATCTTTGTGACCTTGGATTAGGCAAACATTTCTTAAATACTAACAACACAGAAATCCATCTTTACAACACATAAAGCAAAAGATGAATTTTCTTAAATTTACAAAGAGCTCAAAAAAAAAAAAAAAATTTACAAAGAGTTCTTATAATCATTTAGGCCAACAAACCAATTAAATATAGAAGTTCCTCAGGAAGCAAAACAGAAATGACTTATAACCTCTTCCTTTAGTTTCTCTTTCTCCCACTCCCCAAACCTATCCTTTAAACCCACCTGAGTAGTAAAAAGGAATTTCCCACACCCACTTCCCCATCACAGCAGGTCTCAAATCAATCTATGTGTATTACATACACCAAGACTTCCAGAAAGGAGAATTCAGAGTTGTTGCTGTGTTGGTTTTCTAAATTTATAGCAAAAAATCTCATTCGATTTCCAAACAGGCAGTTTTAATAATTAATTTTTGGTCTTTGTAGGATCCATATTCATTCTTCCTGATTTATTCCGTAATTCTGATCTTATTAATCACCCCCCCCACCTTGTTTCGATTATGTAGTTTAAGTGCAGTGGCAAAACCCTGGAGGACAGCTCCTGCAAAGGAGAAGTGGTATATACAGAGACAGGATTTGTGATGAATTTATGTTTTTCTAAAATTCTCAAAATGGAAAAAGTTCTACCAAGTTCTACCAAGGACAGTTCTACCTGAAGCATCCAGTTCTCTCAGCAAACCTTTACATGAGTTCAATATTAGACAATTAAGAAAAATGATAGGTTGTTAGGGAAATCTTTCATTTTATTAAAGTCCATTCAGAGCCCCTTCCCCCCAAACAACATTTCACTTTAGTGGCTCACCTCTTCTCCTGAAAGGTAATAAGCTGCAAGCAGGCCTCCAATAAATCGAATGTTGACTTCAAACACAGACACCTCTGAATTCTGTGAAGACATGTTGAAAATATTCATATATACATAAAACTTCCGAGTTTTCCAAATATTTTCAGTACTTCGTATGTTTCTCACAAAAACCCTGCAGATAATGCTTTTTCCATTTTCCACACCTTCGTTTCTCATGTAACTGCAATGTCACTTTCAATTTATTAATGTTACTCAAACTCCTCTATTACTGCCACCACAACTTCCTATTAGCCAAAATCATTTTTATGTATTTACCTATTATTGTGAAATTATCAACATATTTGATGCTCTTGACTATTCTCTCTTCATGCAAGCCTCCACTTCTTGAATTCTGGAATAGTGGTATCTCCACTGGGTCCATCTCCTTCTGTTCTAGTTACTACAGCATACTGTCCCATTTTTATTATATTTCTCATGAATTTTAAATATTTTTCCTCATATATATAAAAACTTAATAAATGTTAAAAGAGGGACCAAAAAATGATAGGATGATGGATTATTCAATTAATAATGTTGAGAAAACTGACTCCTAGGTTAGAAATTAATTTGGATACTCATTTCAGATACCTCTCTCTCTCAAAATGAAATCCAAATAATTTAGAAATAAATGTAGAAAAAATTAGAATAAAAAAGTAGAAGAAAATGTGACAACATACAAATTTCCTTGACAAAGAAGGTACTTTGTAAGCATAAAATCAACTGTACTGACAACAAATGATGATAGAAAGACTTGAGTTTCCCCAAAATGAGAATGACCTATATAAGGAAAAGCAATTATGAACAAAATTAAAAGGCAAACAAACAAACAAAAAAAACAGAAGGAAATTTGGCACAAATATAGCAGTATTAATAACCTTAGCATATAAAGTCTGTATGTTTGTATTTAGATACAGATATAGATATTGCTGAGAAAAATTCTAATACATGGAAAGAAAAGAAGTGGCAGAGAACATGACCAAAGAATCCACAGGATATACACAATTGACTAGTATAAAGATAACGTCCATAACTAATTTTTTAACAAAACTTAAAAGGAAATATATATTATCCTGAAGTGTTTGTAACATTCATAGGCAGAACACACAATTTGCTAACACAAGTATGTATCTCTGATACGGAATTCTTTTAAATTTAAATTCAATTAGCCAACATACAGTAAATCCTTAGTTTCAGATGTAGTGTTCAATACTTTATCAGTCGCATATAACACCCAGTGTTCATCACATCACGTGCCCTTCTTACTGTCCATCACCCAGTTACCCCATCCCCCCACTTACCTCCCCTCCAGCAACCCTCAGTTAAGAGTCTCTCATGGTTTATCTCCCTCTCTGATTACTTCCTGCAATTTTTAAATAACATATCTATCATCCCATTCCATCCACGACAGGAATATGCTTTATATTACTTCATATATTCCCAATATAGACCATACTGCAGGGCACACAGCAGACATCACTAAATACAGAGAAGCAGAGAAAGAGGGAGGCAGGGCAGGCCATTATCACTCACTGAAACAATAACCTTCTAATCAGTTTCCCTGATTTCAGCCTTCCTCTCCTCCTTACATTCCATTTATTCAGCACCCTGTAGGTACAATGAACCTCATACATTTTAAGTCAGGTTGGGTTACTGTTGTGTGCAAACTTTTACAATGACTGCTGGTTACATTCAAAGCAAAATAACTGTAAGACCCAACATATGCCGATTCCCCACTAGCTGTATGACATCATCTCCTACCAATAGGAGTCCTCCTGACTCACTTTATTACCAAATGGGTCTACTTGCTGTTCTAGAATTACCGAACTCATCATTCCTGTATGTCAGTCTTACCCTCTACCTACAGGTCTCTGAATAGGAAGCTTATCCAAACACATCGTACAAAATACTCTAATCTTTCTTAACCTGCATTATTTCCCCAATTAACACATCACCATCTGATTATATATAATTCTTTATTTGTAAAATTCAGAACTTCCCTCAGAAGAGAGACAGATAAGAGTTCTAGAAGGATAGAAGGGACAAAACAGAAGACAGGCATTATTCAAAGGAGTAGTGACTATGAATCTTCCAAAACTGATAAAAACATAAGTTCTCAGACTGATGGTACATTATGAGTCCTTTAAAGAATAATCCACACATGGCGACATGGTAATGGAAATATAGAACACAGGGCAAAAAAGATTAAAACAAGGGGAAAACAAGACAGATTACCTGTGAAAAATTAGACTGATAGCATACTTTCCAACAATATAACAGAAACAGGAAGACAGTGGAACTGTACCTTTCATAGCTTAAGAGAAAATAATCAACCTCTAACACTATACTCAACTATAATATCCAGTATGAGAGAGCCTTATATCCACATGGCTTCCACTGGGTCTCTTCTCAGAAATGTCACCATGACAAAGAGTCCTTCACTAGCCACCCCATGTAAAATGGCAACCCCATACTTGCTCCAATCCTACTTGCTCTCCTTTACTGTTCTCCACAGCATTTATCACCACCTGATATACTGTATGTGACTTGAAGATTTCTTTACTGTTTTTCTCCCAAAACTAGAGTAGAAACTCAAGGAGAAATAAGACTGTTTTGCTCTTTACTGTATCCACAGAAGCCAGAACAGTGCCTGTCCCAGAGAAGGCATTCAATAAATTTATTTATTTATTCCTTCATTCAGTCAGTCCTCCATTCATTAATTTGGAAGTTTCAAATACAAGTTGGAACCAGCTAGACAACAATTACACATAAGACAAGAGGGAGATGAGCTAAATTAAAGCATTCTAAAAGACTTGTTCTTCAGGGACGCCTGGGTGGCTCAGTCGGTTAAGCAGCTGCCTTCGGCCCAGGTCATGATCCCAGGGTCCTGGGATCGAGTCCCATATCGGGCTCCTTGCTCAGTAGGGAACCTGCTTCTCCCTCTCTCTCCCTCTGCTTGTGCTCTGTCAAATAAATAAAATCTTTAAAAAAAAAAAAAAAAAGACTTGTTCTTCAGAAGGAGGAAAAAGAAACTGATTTTAAACTTAAATAGTATACATATAATATTTTAAGGACAACCCCAGAATGAATGGAAATGACAAGTATAAATGTCAATGAAGTAGAGGGAAAAAGAGATATAAAGTAACTTAACCTAAAATAAGGGAAGCAGCAAATAAAAACAATGAAAAGTACAACAATAATATAGGTTGAAAAACAAAGATGGAAGACCCAACTCCAAATACATGTTATCACAATAAATGTAAATATTCCAAACTTGACAGTTAAAAGACTCCAAGACTGGATAAAAATAACAAAATCCAAATACACACTACATGCAAAATATACAGTGAAAACACATGACAGAGAAAGATTAAAAGTAAAGAGATGGTAAATGATTGTGCTGATTATTAAGCTTTTTCTCCTCAGGTTCACATCTATCCTTCTAGAGCCTACTTGGTATACTGGAATTGGAACTCTGCAAATATATGTCTCATTAGCCAGCTGGCTCCCTTATGGGCCATGCCAACAGGAAGTTTTACAAAGATAATACAAGGCTGGAAGAAGGAGAAAAGACTGATTCCTTCCAATTTACTTCTGGTTTCTGACCATGTCAAACCAGCCATGGTTCTTGGCCCTGGCAGTGGCAGCTGGTTCCACATTACAGTTCCCCTGCCACACACACATTCTCCAAATCAGCCTCACTGTGGCCCACCAGCTAGGGGCCCTCTCCTCAGAGGTCTGAGTCCCAGCTCTAAAAAGCTCTTTTAAGAGCTCCTACATACCAGAAACAGAGTCCCAAATTACCAACTTCTTCCCACTGTTCTCAGTCCCAGGGAGGTGGATATTTACTGTAGTTACTACCTCTTGTGATACCATAATGTTCTCTTTCTGCCTTTTCAGTTCCCCGTTATTTGGTTAACAATTCTAAACATTAAATCCTCTAATTAAAATAAATGGTATAGTTCTGGTTCCTGATTGAGTGAACTGATACAATGATATACCAGCGGATTATTAGGCCTAATAAAGCTGACATGTTAATGGACAGGAGTATTTGAGACTGTACAGATGCCAATTCTCTCTAAATTAATCTGTAAATTGAATGCAATCCTCATCAAAATGTCAACAGTACTCCAGAGCTTACAAGAACAAAGAGCTGAGAACTGCTAAGATAATTTCCTAGTAGAACGAGATCAGATATCAAGCTTCCTATATTGTAGTTAAGACAGTTTAGTATTGATGTAAGCACAAAGAAAAAAAAGCGACAGAAAAGAATCAGTTCAAATGACTAATAATGGCATGTATAAAAAGCAGGGAAATAAACGGTTCTAGGATCAACTAATAGTTGCCCATCTCACCCTAAATCAATTTCATATGGATTAAAGTCCTAAATGCAAAAACCAAACTTTAAAACATTCAGAATGAAATATAGGCATGCATATATCTTCAATAAGAGTAGGGATTTCTTAAATAAGATACAAAAAGCCACATCCTATAAGGACCACAAAGCCAAACGGGAGGGAAAAAAAAAAAAAAAACACCTGTATTTCACAGCCTCCCCTTACACTAAAGTTGGGCCATATAAGTCAGATCTATTCAACAGTATAGAAGCAAAATTGGGGTAACTGATTCCTGTAAAGTGTTATAGAAGAGTCATGTATCTTTCCTCTTTTCTGCAACTGGAAGGTTTATCCACCTTATTGAGGAACCACCTTGCTTAGACCATGAGGTTGAAGCTATACACTGAAGTTGACAGAGCAACAAGACAAAGGATCCTAGATCCTTGAGGATCAAGGAGCTACCCAAGCCAACCCTAAACTGCTTATCTCCGTGCTTAATTTACATGAAAGGGAAATAAACAGCTATCTTGTTTAAGCTATTTTATATTAGATTTTCTGCCACTCACAGACAAACCTAAATCTAACTGATAATAAAAATTGTTCTAATTGATGTATATCCAAAATGCTAGAATAACATAAAAGAAAGTAATCATTTTTGTGTGGTTAGCATCAGGAAAGCATGAGAGAAGAAATAATTATGGATTTAAATCACAATTTGAGTGATGCAGAGTCTGCCAAAGAGAAAAACACATAGTAAAAGAGTGACTTCTGACCACAGCAAGAAAGAACAGCAAGCACAAATATCATGAAACATAATAATGAACATGACAAAATAGTCCATACAACTTGTGGGTGAATGCTGGTAATAATGAAAAAAATTGCTACCATTTACGAGCACTTAATGTGTACCAGATTATCTCAAATAATCCTTACAACACTGCAATGCAATAGTAATTTTATGACAGGTTTAGAAAAAATAAGGAACTTTCCCAAGTCACACAGCAAGAATGTAGCTGTGTTGGGCTTCAAACTTTAGCCCCACCACTTAACAACTATGCCAAAATGCTGGAAGGAGGGGCATCGCATCGGCCTAGTTATGAAGGTTCATCAAAACTGTACCAGATTATTGAATCTTTAAAAAATAATAAAACCCTTATTGTTTACAAAATAGTTTATGCTTTCCTGGTATTTCTATTCCCATGTGTTTTTTTCTGTAACTCCTGCTTAACACACTGAACACGTTGCCTCAAATGATAAGGTTAAGAAAAGTGAAAGGAAGATGGTGAGAAAGGGTATGTATTTTACACAAAAGTTAAATAACAACTCTAACCCCAAAAGAAGACAGGGAATTTAGGATTTCCTTAAACTGTTAGTATAACGCTCAAAACTACTCTGGTTAGATGCTGTCTTTTCAAGGTCAATCAAAGAAGTCATCAACTGTATACTCACCACACTGAAATCAAGGGTGTCTTCAATCCATTTTTGCCCATCTCGGAATTCATCATGAAGTCCCATGATATAAAGGGTATCCAAAGCATCTACTATGGTAGCACCCATTTGTGAACTTCCTATATTTGGGGTGGAGAGAAAACTGTCATTAATAACATGCCCTTCATATAAGGTCTGTTTTAATTTTTTAATATATAAAAAAATCAAAGTAGAAATATAAGGACCAAAAATAATACCCAACATGGTTCACTTTTTCTTTTTTTTCTTTTTTTTCTTTTTTTTTAAAGATTTTGTTTATTTGACAGAGAGAGACACAGCGAGAGAGGGAACACAAGCAGGGAGAGTGGGACGGGGAGAAGCAGGCTTCCCGCGGACCAGGTAGCCCAATGTGGGGCTCGATCCCAGGACCCTGGGATCTTGACCTGAGCTGAAGGCAGACGCTTAATGACTGAGCCACCCAGGCGCCCCTGGTCCACTTTTTCTTAAGAACAAATAATAAACACTGTTCAATGTATTTTCCTAAAGATGACACGTTAACCACTAATAGGAAGGTAAAGGAAAACTAAAATTGTAGCTCTCCTTCATTTTCTTCATGGTCACAGTATGAGATATCTACCTACTTAACTAAGTTTAAAAAAAAAAAAGGATTAATTCAAGAAACAGGGAGGGTGGTTCAAGATGTCAATACAAGTCGTAAGACAACCATGCTGTTCTGGTACAAATGCACAGAAAGGGCAAAAAATATACTTAGAAATAATAATAAAAGTACAATAAGGCTAGATGACCACGGTAAAACAGAAACTATAATAATCCTTACTATTCAAAAAGCAGGTTAATCATACCAAAAAAGAAAGTAAAGTATTAAACAAAATGTGAGTAGAAAAAATCAAAATAATAGGATCTATACCCACCTTAAAGAGAGAAAGAATCCTGAAGTTAAAGTAAACAATTCAGGGAGGGAGAAACTAATTCAACAAAACCAGCTGATAGCAAAACTAGACACTATAAACACCTGACAAGCAAATGGGTCAATCTAACTAATGAACAGAACTGTGAAATCCGGAATACAATCTAATAGCATATAAAAGAGTAAGTAACAAGGAGCAGATGAGTCTTCCCCAGCCCCAAGAAAGCAATTATTTCTATCTTCTGAGAATGAAAATTATCCCTACTTGTCACTACCTAGATTAAAATGGCTTTATTACTGTCTTCATCAACGTGAGTTTACTGTTACCCTGGCCCAGAAAGATAAAAGTTGCAAAATAATTTTACTGTTCATTCCAGGAACTTCCTGAAAGACCTCTTCAATGGAAAGTTATCAAATGATGGCTTAAAACTTTGAACTCTGTACCTCTAAATTCTCTGCTTACCAATCCTAAGCTGTTATATTATGGTCCTTACCCAATCATAACCAAGTACCCCTACCCCAACTGAAAGGCCCATCTTAACCCAGACTTAAAATCTCAATAAATATCTCAACTTTGTCCTTCTCCATCTGACAGGCCACTAAGGTTCTGGTAAGGTAGTGACCTACTGTACCACAGTTAAGCATTAAACTCAGCTTTGTCTTATCAACAAGTCATGTTTGACACTGCATGGTTACTATTCTTTCTTTTCTCTTCCATTCCTTTTTCCACTGGGCAAACAGTGCTTTCTTCTGATGCCTTTTTAAAGCTATACAAATTCGTTCTTAAAATGTCCTTAACTTACATTTTCTTCTTCACATGATTCTAATAACTTTCTCAACTCATCAATAAATATTATCTTTCCACTAAAAAGACAAGCACTCCACCACACTCTGATAAAGTTCCTGGTTCTTGTCCCCACTTAAGTTCCCTTCATGTTGACATTAACTAGAATGTTTGTTCTGGGTTATTACAGACATACTTTCCATTTACTTTTCTTTGTTCCTCAACTTTTTATTAGGATGATAAATATTTTATCAAGGGCGCCTGGGTGGCTCAGTTGGTTGAGCGACTGCCTTCGGCTCAGGTCATGATCCTGGAGTCCCGGGATCGAGTCCCGCATCGGGCTCCCTGCTCGGCGGGGAGTCTGCTTCTCCCTCTGACCCTCCCCACTCTCATGTGCTCTCTCTCTCTCTCTCTCATTCTCTCTCTCAAATAAATAAATAATCTTTAAAAAAAAAAAAATTTTATCAAGCCTTTAATCACCCAGATATCCCTATCTCTTCCATAATCATTTAAATATGTATCTTTTTATGTATTTCATCCAAAATATTTATTATGCTTATTTTAAATCCTTAAGAGTACCTCTTTTTGTTATTTCAATTTTTATAGGTAGTTATGCTTCAGTTCTCTAGTTATTTATGGAATCCTGGAAGTGCGTATTCCTCTAAGGTGCAGACAACTCTGGAACGGAAAAAGGGCTGACCCACCTGTTCTGTACCAATTCTGGTTAGTTCCACAAGAAGAGGTTTGTGCCATGGGCTAAACAGCCCAAGGAAGAAAAAGGCAAAATTGAAGTTCCTGGCTATCACTATGATTGTTTACCTAGACAACTCAAGATTTCAACTGGAAAAGGTTAAAAGATCTAACACTACCCTTGGGATAGGGCGCCTAGGTGGCTCAGTTGGTTAAGTGTCTGCCTTTGGCTCAGGTCATGATCCCAGGGTCCTGGGATCAAGCCCTACACTGGGCTCCCTTCTCAGCATGGCAGTCTGCTTCTCCCTCTCCCTCTCCCTGCTCAGGCTCTCACTCTCTCTCTGAAATAAATAAATAAAATCTTAAATATATAAATAAATAAATCTACATTTGGGTCGAAGAAGTGAAACACAATACTGTAGAATGTATAAAAGATTAATAAAACTTTATTATGGGAACACAGGATTCAACTAATGCAGTTCTCAAAACTCATAACTTGAAAACTTTGTTATTTAATAAGAACAATGAAAATAATTGAATTCACAACATTCTACTAAGGAAACAAAAAAAGAATGATAAACCTGAGCAAAAAAGTTCAAAGAATCAGAAAAGTTAAAAGCAAAAATTAATGAATTAGAAATAAAGAAAATTGTCAAAAATATAAATTCAAGAGATAGTTCTATTAGAAGAACTATATAATGAATCTACCACTAACCAATGTTTAAAAAGTAGCCAGGGAATACAAAAACACAAAATAAGAAATAAGACTGCATCAATAGATACAGAGGAAACTAAGAAACTATACAAAACCCATTTTAGTCATATTGTATCAATAAATTTGAAAAAATGAGCGCAACTGATTATTTTCTATGAATATATATTATATATTTAATATTATATATAGTAACACATAAAATAAAAATATTACATATATGTTTATATATATTTATATATATTTATTTTAATATGTGTTTTATATATATATAAAACTTTGACTTAGAAAAGAAACATAAAATCTAAACAAAACACACCAAGAAACAGAAGAAATTGAGAAGTTCTCAAAGAACTACCCACCATAAAAGTATCATACTCTGGAAGTTCCATAGAATAGATTTTATTTTAATTTTAAGAACAGTAACTCCTACATAAATTTTTATAGAATACAGAGAGATCTTAAAATCCAATTTATGGATTCTGCATACCATTGATGCAAAAGTCTCGGTAAGAAAAATAAAACTACTATCTAATCTCATTTGTGAGCATCATGGAAATATTTAAGAGTGAAATTGCTGAGCTGTGTGATAAGCTCATGTTTAACTTTACAAGAGACTGACAAACAGCTCTTCAGAGTGTACCATTTTATACACCCAGCGACAATGCAGAAGAGTTCTGGTTGCTCTAGCATCCTTGTCAACATTTGGTATTGCTGCCCTTTTTAATTTTAGACATTCTAATGAGTGTGTAGGATATTGCATTGTGGGTTGAATTTTAATTCTCTGGAAACTGATGTGCTTATTGGCTATTCATAAACCTTCTTTGGTATATGAATCATCTATATATTCTAAATACATTCGTGTGTGTGTACCACAAACATTTTCTCCAAGTCTTGTGGCTGACTTTTCATTTTCTTAATGTCTTTTGGAGAGCAGAAATTTTTAATTTTTATGAAGTCCAATTTATCCATTTTTTCCCTTTTATGGTTTATGCTTTTTGTATTCTAAAAACTCTTTTCTTACCTCAAAGTCACAAAGATTTTCTCCAAAGCTTTCTACCGAAAGTTTTACACTTTTCACTTTTATGTTTAGCTCTATGATCCATTTCAAGTTAATTTTTATGTACAATGAAGAGTCAAGGTTTGTTATTTTTCTATATGAATATGTAGCTGATCCAGCATGATTTACTGGAAAGGTATCTTTTTACCCACTGAATTACCCAGGCACCTTTGAACCAACCATGTATGTACAGTCCTAGTTCTGTGCTTTTCCACTGATCTGTCTCCAATAAGACTGTCCTCATTACTGCAGCTTTATAATACATCTTAAAATCAGGTAATATAAATCTGTCAACTTAGTTCTTCTTTTTAAAAGATTACTCTATTGCACATGCTTTGCATTTTCATATAGATTTTTGAGTCAGCCTATCAATTTATGCAAAAAGTCATTTTGACTGGGATTTCTTTAAATTTAAGTATGACTTTTAAGAGAACTGACATCCCCACAGTATTGAGTATTCCAATTCATGAACATGGCATCTCCATTTATTTAAGTCCTTTGAAATTTCTCTCGATAATCACAGTTTTAAGTGTATAGGTTTTGCACATATTTTGTTAAATTCACCCACATACAGTTCATATTTTCTGATGCTATTGCAAATGGTATTATTAAAAAAAATTGTATTGTGACTGTTTATTGCTAGTATATAGAAATACAACTTATTTGGGGTTTTTTTGTTTGTTTTTTAAAGATTTTATTTATTTGACAGAGAGAGAGAGCACGCGAGAGTGAGCACCCAAGCAAGGGGGAGCTGCAGAGGGAAGAGAGAGAAGCAGGCTTTCCGCTGAGCAGGGAGCCTGATGCGGGGCTCAACCCCAGGACCCTGGGATCATGACCTGAGCCAAAGGCAGACGCTTAACAACTGAGCCACCCAGGCACCCCAATGCAATTTATTTTGTACACTGAACTTGTACCTTATGACCTTACTAAATTTTATTCAATCTAGTACCTGGTTGGTGTTGTCCG